ACCCGATCCCGTTTTGTCGCCTTTTACGAAAAGCATAGTCACCTTTTACGGCAAGCATGGGTTGCTGAAAACCTATTCTATCCCGGATCTTCATGGGTCCCGACGGTTAGTGAAGGTTCGAATCTACTTGGGTCACCAGTGGAGTAATCCCCATTAAACTTAAGGACGGGAGCTTGAAAATATGTTGCTTATTACACTCAGTTTCAGGAAGTGAAAAGGGAAGCTTAATATGGTTAGCTTCCTCAGCCAAGACAAAACTGATTAACCATTTGTAGTTGAATATGTTTGACAATTGAACTAAAAACTGTTACTTGTCATTTAACTGTTTCTTTAAGTACCTACAACTTTAAATCAGTACTTCAGTTGGTTGGTTGGTTGTTTTACGCCGCACTCCGCAATATTCCAGCTATATGACGGCGGTCTGGACCAGGCAATCCAGTGGTTGACATCATGAGCATAATTCCACGCAATTGGGATATGATGACATGCATCAACCACGCCAGCAAGCCTGACCACCCGATCCCGTTAGTCGCCTTTTACGATAAGCATGTTCTGCTCTGGATGGACACGGGTGCTGGTGCACATCGTAGGGTGTACAGAAACAGCGGATGCAGCTGGAATGATTCACAAAGGGTTCTCAATAAGATAGTATTTCGTCAGGAAATTAATACAGAACACAGGTGTATAGATGATAAACGTTTTAACGAAATATGTGAGGGAGATGTTGTAATCTAGCCAAATGACGTGATAACGTGAAGAGTCATTAATCTTATGGTCACTTTAATATATTCAAATGAAAGAAAGAAATGTATTTATGAAATATACAGGATCATGTGACACACTCTCCACAAATGGTAATTAAAAGATAAAAAGTCATTTCGAAGTTGGGTCTATGGAATTGGCAGAGATAGAACATATCCCGTATTGAACAGTTAAGTTAAACGATATATATGCTCGTATATACTTACAATATGTAATATAGAAATTAAATCAAATTGTGTATTTTAACCATGATGGAATTGCAAGGGGGCCACTGACGACAGTAGTTTAATGAATACATTTTTTGAACTGACCAACTTGAGGTTTGACGATTATGCACCTTTGAGCTAAATTACAAGCTGCCGGTTGATCATGTTACAATTTTAAAATTATGGGACTATTTCATATATAACATGCTGGTGATAAAATCTCCATAATACGTCAGACTATGAAGAATCAATTAGCTTAATGTGTAGCCTATATACTGTGGGGGCACGGGTGGCCCAGTCGTCTAAGGCGCCGCGATTCGCTGTGCAGAGTTGCCAGAAACCTATGATTGTGGGTTCGAATCTCTCTCACACGCGCGCACACACATGGACGTACATGCACTCACACACCCACTTGTAAATGTAATAATGTATTTATTACTGAAATACTGTTGAATGGAACAATCGACACACTCACAAGGTAGCTCTCCCTCTCCCCCCCCCCCCCCCCCCCCCCCCCCTCTTATTTCACTCTTTCTGCCTCGCACTCTCACACACACATGAACGCATACGCAAGCACACACACTCACGCGCAATCACACACACACACACACACCTATAAGTGTAATATAAACACCTCACACGATGTCCATGAAAAAACAATACCGGTGTTACGTGGGAAATGATCCCTATGACAAATAGCCGCCTCGCCTGTGTTTGCATAACGTTACACGCTGCACCGAGTACACACTGGCGTCATGTGGTTTCAATATACGTCCGTCTCGGTGCAAGCCCACGTGTTATTTCTATAGCTAACATTTATCGCGCGTTAGTCTCCTAATCCCGGCCAGAAGAAAATACGAGCGCCGACAAATATCGTCTTCCGTCATGAGATGAACATTATCAGATGGCTTTACAAAGCTCAGCACGGGGTTAAATAAACGAATTTCTACAAGGGACCTGCCATAAGTCTATATTGCCCGTATGTTGTATTGTTCTCAGTATTTTGTTATATATACTTCACGGTATACTGGTATAATCTCACTCACTCGGGTTGGAAGCGGTCTTCAAAAAACCCATGCTTGTCGTAAAAGGCGACTAACGGGATCGTCACTTTTGAGTAATCATCGCGAAATAATTGTTCCACTTTCACGATACTATCCCGCCACTGTATAACCACTATCAAGCCACCCTCGGGCCACTATCACGCCACTTTATAGCGACTATCGCGCCACTTTATAGCCACTATCACGTCACTTCATAATCAGGCAGCTTTATAACCACTATCGCACCACTTAATAATAATAATAATAACTACAGATTTATATAGCGCTGGTATCCAGTTCGAAGAACTGCTCAAAAGCGCTTCATTTGAGTCTACACAATAAAAGAGACATTACACAGCTAGGAAAACACAAAGCCTCAATACTCCAAGAAAGATTTGGTGAAAAGATAGGTTTTGAGTCTTGATCGGAACAAAGTAGGACTGTCAATGTTCCTGATATCCAATGACAGCCTATTCCATAGCTCAGGGGCAACTTTGGCGAAACTCCGACCTCCAAAAGTCGCGCAACTTTATAGCCACCATCACGTCACTTTAGAGCCACTATCCCTCCGCGTTACAGCCACTATCACGTCAATTCATAATCACTATCGCGCAACTATATAGCCACTATCGCACCACTTAATAGTTACTATCGCGCAACTTTATAGCCACTATCGCACCACTTATTAGTTACTATCGCGCAACTTTAGAGCCACTATCGCACCACTTAATAGTTACTATCGCGCAACTTTATAGCCACTATCGCACCACTTATTAGTTACTATCGCGCAACTTTATAGCCACTATCGCACCACTTATTAGTTACTATCGCGCAACTTTATAGCCACTATCGCACCACTTATTAGTTACTATCGCGCAACTTTAGAGCCACTATCACGTCACTTTATAGCCACTATCGCACCACTTAATAGTTACTATCTCGCAACTTTATAGCCACTATCGCACCACTTATTAGTTACTATCGCACAACTTTAGAGCCACTATCACGTCACTTTATAGCCACTATCGCACCACTTAATAGTAACTATCGCGCAACTCTATAGCCACTATCGCACCACTTATTAGTTACAATCGCGCAACTTTATAGCCACTATCGCACCACTTAATTGTTACTATCGCGCAACTTTAGAGCCACTATCACGACACACAGCCGCTAACAAGCTTGAGGTCATTGCTGGCTCTGTATCATTTCTTTATGTTGTTTGTTTGTTTGTTGTTTAACGCCGCACTCGGACATATTCCAGCTATATGACGGCGGTCTGTAAATAATCGAGTCTGTACCAGACTATCCAGTGATTGACGCCATGAGATCGATCCACGCAATCGGGATACAATGACATGCATCAACCTTCAGCGAGTCCACAAGATCCCACCTCTTACGACAAACAAACAAATTTGAAATAATTCTAACAGTCACAACACGTGGATGTATACTGTCTTTTTCCCCGCAGCATATTTAGATGACATGGTGACAGTTTCTTAATGTAAGGCGTGGTTTCACTGGCTTGTGTCGTTCAATATCATGGTGAAATATGTGATCTTCACATGGGAAATGTATTTTCACAATGTCAATAATAGATCGCACAATTGTAGCGCACATATAGAACAATATTTTGACACACAATTGTGGAAACAATTACTAACATTGTGACAAAATACACCTTTCGAGATTCAAACATGAGACATTGATTTCACCGAGGCATGAGAGGGGCAACTTATTGTTAACATTGTGACAATATTCACATTTGAGATGCAAACATGAGATATTGATTTCACCGGGGTCGGCTTAAAAAAATTGCATTGACATTAACTGAATATCTGGGATCAGATAAAACCTCTTGTCACTACACAGCGGGTCTTATCTGTAAAGTATTACTACCTTAGATGACTTTAAATCGAGCAATTTTCCGTGTAGCTTTATCGTATAACATCATTCAAAATAGTCCATTGCTTGTTGTGAGCGTCGAAGAAAACAAATATCATGTGATCTAATTATTCATGTGTAACCTGGTCATGGCGTGGCCCTGTGCCCCCCCCCCCCCCCCCCTCATATAGAACAGCAGATAGCGAGCTGTACGCGCGCTTTTGCACCAGGATTGTATCAGTGAGTGAGTAAGGTTTTACGCCGCTCTTTGGGCTATTCCTGCAATATCACAGCCAGCACCAAATTTGAGATTCACACGTTGTACCCATGCGGGGTTCAAACCCAGGAATACAGCTTTAACAACGGGGCTAGACAAATCCCCCTATCTTCTTCATTCCGTCGGTCTACTAATACCGAGTAACGATTATTACATTGACTTTAAAAAAAGGACCAAGACGCTTGACTAGAGGCTTAAGGGACAAAACAAATTTTCCCAGAAAATTCTTGAAAGGATTATGCTTCAGACGAAGCATGTTACAACGAAAAATAAAATTGTCAACCACAAAAAATACATTGTCACAAAGTGTTGTTTTTTTATAACATGTCAGGCCCATAGTTATGATTAAAAACAAAACTGGTTTTGCAGCTGTAGCTAAAAAATACGTTATCTCCATACAAAATCCCAGTACCCCCCAAATCATCCCAGCCTCGCTCGCACCCCCACTCCCCTCCCCCGAATACCAAACGGTCGGTCTCTTAACCCCTACTCCCATCTTTTTTCAATTGTAATGTTTGACACTTATAACACAACATCTTCCAATGCCCTAGTGCAGTTCGCACGTTATTCAAGTCACGCGAGACAACAACGTCTCACCTGCAATATCGACATCACATAAGTGTATTGTATCGCGATCGATTTGCAAGTTAGGACGTGAGTACCGTACCACCTGTGAATCAATACTGCACATAAGTCAATACTTAAACAACTGCAGATACGTCTGTCCCCCTGAGTGTATTTATATACTAGTTCTTGTGCTCACGGAACATACGGAGTCAAACGCAAACAGGAAATATGACCCACACATACAAGGAGTTTCGTTTAATACTCAACACCACGTGGTATAGTCGAGTGCTTTGTGAAAGGGGTCCCACTGTCGCAAGCCTCTCTTTATCAATGACAACAAGAGAGATACGCATATTTGATAGTCGACACTGCTTAGGGTAACATAACCTGTGGTCCGGGTTTCGTATATCACTCACAAGCTTCATCGTGGGTCACCAAACAATCGGAACGTGTGCAGCGGGCGTTGAAAATAATTCTCCGAGATCCTCTGAATGCATATAACATACATAGCGCCACAACGCGGAAGTTAAACTGTTCGTGAGAAACGCATGTGGTTGCTTGGACATAGCCGACTTAATTTGTGAATTATATCATGAAGGCAGTTGTGTGGATGGTGTTCGGCGTCATGCTACATATGTCTTCTCATGTAGTACTAGGTGAGTATATGTCTTCTCGTGTATATCAGGTGAGTATATGCCTTATGCAGTACTAGGTGAGTATAGGTCTTCTCATGTAGTACTAGGTGAGTATATGTCTTCTCATGTAGTACTAGGTGAGTATACATGTTGTATGTCTTCTCGTGTATATCAGGTGAGTATATGCCTTATGCAGTACTAGGTGAGTATAGGTCTTCTCATGTAGTACTAGGTGAGTATATGTCTTCTCGTGAAGTACTAGGTGAGTATGCATGTTGTATGTCTTCTCGTGTATATCAGGTGAGTATATGCCTTATGCAGTACTAGGTGAGTATATGCCTTATGCAGTACTTGGTGAGTATAGCTCTTCTCATGTAGTACTAGGTGAGTATATGTCTTCTCGTGAAGTACTAGGTGAGTATATGTCTTCTCGTGTATATCAGGTGAGTATATGCCTTATGCAGTACTAGGTGAGTATAGCTCTTCTCATGTAGTACTAGGTGAGTATATATGTCTTCTCATCTATATCAGGTGAGTATATGCCTTATGCAGTACTAGGTAAGTATAATATATATTCTCAAGTATACTATGTGAGTGTAAGTATTATCATGTAGTACTACGTGATTGTAAGTAGTATCATGTAGTACTACGTGAGTGTAAGTATTATCATGTAGTACTACGTGAGTGTAAGTATAATCATGTAGTACTACGTGAGTGTAAGTATTTTCATGTAGTACTATGTGAGTGTAAGTATTATTATGTAGTACTATGTCAGTGTAAGTATTATCATTTAGTACTATGTCAGTGTAAATATTAGCATGTAGTACTACGTGAGTGTAAGTATTATCATGTAGTACAACGTGAGTGTAAGTATTATCATGTAGTACTATGTGATTGTAAGTATTATCATGTAGTACTACGTGAGTGTAAGTATTATCATGTAGTACAACGTGAGTGTAAGTATTATCATGTAGTACTACGTGAGTGTAAGTATTAGCATGTAGTACTAAGTGAGTGTAAGTATTATCATGTAGTACTAAGTGAGTGTAAGTATTAGCATGTAGTACTACGTGAGTGTAAGTATTATCATGTAGTACTACGTGAGTGTAAGTATTATCATGTAGTACTATGTGAGTGTAAGTATTATCATGTAGTACTACGTGAGTGTAAGTATTATCATGTAGTACTACGTGAGTGTAAGTATTATCATGTAGTACTACGTGAGTGTAAGTATTATCATGTAGTACTATGTGAGTGTAAGTATTATCATTTTGTACGAGGTAAATACATGTCTTCTGATGTAGGGCTATGTCTTATGGTGTTGTTCCAAGCGAAAATAAATTTTCACATGTCATTTAGATGAGTATCCATCTTGTCACACAACAGGATGCGGACAGTCCCAGTACAATATACAGTATGTCCGGCGTGTATTTCAAACCGTAAAATATAGCATGTCATTCTATCCGTGTCAGCGATAACAGTAATTGTGAGTCAGAGACGTGCACGTGACGGAAGCGCATGCTGATATAATGTGGTCTCTCCCTGCACACCGTGTTCGGGTAAATAACATAAATGGCATGAAAAGTAGTTAAACTCCCTTGTTGCTCTCCCTTCTACTCTCTCTCTCTCTCTCTCTCTCTCTCTCTCTCTCTCTCTCTCTCTCTCTCTCCTACACACTCTCTCTCTCTCCAAGGCTCTCTCTAGTACTACGTGAGCGTAAGTATTACCATGTAGTACTACGTGAGTGTAAGTATTAGCATGTAGTACTACGTGAGTGTAAGTATCATCATGTAGTACTACGTGAGTGTAAGTATTAGCATGTAGTACTACGTGAGTGTAAATATTATCATGTATTTCTATGTGAGTGTAAGTATCATCATGAAGTACTACGTGATTGTAAGTATTATCATGTAGTACTATATATGTGAGTGTAAATATTATCATGTATTTCTATGTGAGTGTAAGTATTATCGTGTAGTACTATGTGAGTGTAAGTATTATCATGTAGTATTATGTGAGTGTAAGTATTATCATGTAGTACTACGTGATTGTAAGTAGTATCATGTACTGCATGTAGTACTACGTGAGTGTAAGTATTATCATGTAGTACTACGTGAGTGTAAGTATTAGCATGTAGTACTAAGTGAGTGTAAGTATTATCATGTAGTACTACGTGAGTGTAAGTATTTTCATGTAGTACTATGTGAGTGTAAGTATTATTATGTAGTACTATGTCAGTGTAAGTATTATCATTTAGTACTATGTCAGTGTAAATATTAGCATGTAGTACTACGTGAGTGTAAGTATTATCATGTAGTACAACGTGAGTGTAAGTATTATCATGTAGTACTATGTGATTGTAAGTATTATCATGTAGTACTAAGTGAGTGTAAGTATTATCATGTAGTACTAAGTGAGTGTAATTATTAGCATGTAGTACTACGTGAGTGTAAGTATTATCATGTAGTACTATGTGAGTGTAAGTATTATCATTTTGTACGAGGTAAATACATGTCTTCTGATGTAGGGCTATGTCTTATGGTGTTGTTCCAAGCGAATATAAATTTTCACATGTCATTTAGATGAGTATCTATCTTGTCACACAACAGGATGCGGACAGTCCCAGTACAATATATAGTATGTCCGGCGTGTATTTCAAACCGTAAAATATAGCATGTCATTCTATCCGTGTCAGCGATAACAGTAATTGTGAGTCAGAGACGTGCACGTGACGGAAGCGCATGCTGATATAATGTGGTCTCTCCCTGCACACCGTGTTCGGGTAAATAACATGAATGACATGAAAAGTAGTTAAACTCCTTTGTTACTCTCCCTTCTACACTCTCTCTCTCTCTCTCTCTCTCTCTCTCTCTCTCTCTCTCTCTCTCTCTCTCTCTCTCTCTCTCTCTCTCTCTCCTACACACTCTCTCTCTCTCTCCAAGGCTCACTCCTACAACCTCTCTCTCCCCTACACCATCTCTCTACACCTTATCTCTCTAGTACACATTCTACATTCTGCAACACATTCTCTCTGTCACACACATTCTATCCTAAAGTAGATCTATCTTTTACAAAGTTTCCCTGCACATTCTCTCTCCCCTTTACATTCTATGTCTTTAACATTCTCTCTCTATTACACATTACCTTTCTCCTAATATCATATGTCTCCTCCACATTCTCACTCCACATCCTATCTTTCCTCCACATTCTTTCCCCTGCACATTCTCTCCCCTACACATTCTCTCCCCGGCACAATCTCTCCCCTGCACATTCTCTCCCCTACACAATCTCTCTCCTGCACATTCTTTCCCCTACACATTCTCTCCCCTACACATTCTCTCTCCTGCACATTCTCTCTCCTGCACATTCTCTTTCCTGCACATTCTCTCCCCTACACATTCTCTCTCCTGCACATTCTCTCCCCTACACATTCTCTCTCCTGCACATTCTCTCCCCTACACATTCTCTCCCCTGCACATTCTCTCCCCTACACATTCTCTCACCTACACATTCTCTCCCCTACACATTCTCTCCCCTGCACATTCTCTCCCCTACACATTCTCTCACCTACACATTCTCTCCCCTACACATTCTCTCTCCTGTACATTCTCTCCCCTACACATTCTCTCCCCTACACATTCTCTCTCCTGCATATTCTCTCACCTGCACTTTTTCTCTTCTCTACATTCTATCTTGCTTTTCTCTCTCCCCTACACATTCTCTCTCCTGCACATTCTACCTGTTCTCTCTCTCTCTGTCTCTCTCTGTCTCTCTCTCTCTCTCTCTCTCTCTCTATCTCTCTCTCTCTCTCTCTCTCTCTCTCCTAATGTCCTCTCACATATTACATCTCTTCAGACAGATTGACACTTCTGTTTAAGGTACAGCCACAATAGGGCCTGCCACCGGCTCAGTGATGGAAGGGGATAGCTACACGTTCACCTGCAGTACCACGCAGCAGGGAGAGTATTTGGTCTATTTTAAAGAGGGCACTATCACCTATTGCCAATTTGGTGGCATGACAACGAATGAGGGACTGGAGTGTGGGGTTGAGAGAGGGGAGCCCTCCAAGTATTATTTCAAAATACCCCACACCTATCGGAACCACTCAAGTACAGACTGGTTATGTCAGGCTGGTCCAGATCAGAGCAACATGGCAAAACTAGATGTCTGGTGTGAGTAAAGTCCTCCTCCCCCCTCCTCCCTTCCTCTCTCTCTCTCTCTCTCTCTCTCTCTCTCTCTCTCTCTCTCTCTCTCTCCCGCTCGATCGCTCTATATTTATCTCTCGATCCCTCTCTGTATCTCTCTATATATCTCTGTCTATATATATATCTCTCTCTTCATCTCTCTCTCTCTCGAGATATATACATTTATATCTCTCTCCAACACGATTATTTTTTTTTTTTACTTTATTAAATTTAAATGTGTTTATTTTAAAATTATGACTGTTGCAACATTAAAATCGTATTAAACAGCTTCGAAGTCGATTTTATAGCCGAGATAATGCTAAAATTATGCTTAAATTATGAATAATCATATATTCAGCTGCACTGATTTTCACAGCTGTATGGAACATATGGTTCCATTCGTACTGTTTCCAGACCCGCCGGCGATAAAAAGTTTTACGACCAACCATGAATCCAACAAAATCGAGGTCAACATAAACGACACTGTCACCCTGGTTTGTCAATACGAAGGTAACCCAGCCGCCGACGTCATCATCAAAAAGCAAGGTCGGAGTCTGCAGACTGTAGACGACGATGTCGCTGTGAGGTCCACTCTGACAACAGTGAGTTGTCAAGATATGGCGACCTATGTATGCCAAGCCTCGAATAGGTTTGGCTCTGCCTCATCAAATATTCAACTAATAGTCAGATGTAAGTACAATGTTATCCTGGCGTAATCAGCCAGTGCCGGATACCTACTCCGGTTCGCTCGGCTATAATAGGTCTTCAGCAACCCATGCTTGACGTTAACGGGATCGGGTGGTCAGGCTCGCTGACTTGGTTGAAGCATCATGTCATCGTATCCAAATTGCGTAGATCGATTCTCATGATATCAATCACTTGATTGTTAGATCCAGACTCGATTATTACAGACCACCGTAATATAGCTGGGATATTGCAGAGTGCTGCGTTCAAACAACAAACATACAAACAGACCCTAGTTTTACATTTCTATTTGAAGGCAAAATAGCACAAGTTGAACAGTTATGTAAGGCTCACCAGTGACGCTAGGGTGTTGGTGTCATGGGACCGTCAAGTGCACAAAACTTTGTACACTATGGATTCCTGCTAATTTTGGCGGTGGTCGTATCAGACGGAGTGAGTGAGTGAGTTTGGTTTTACGCCGCTTTTAGCAATATTCCAGCACGGCGGGGGACACTAGAAATGGGCTTCACGCATTGCGTATCAGACGGAGACGAGGCGGACGTGCTTTAAAGTCCCACTTCTTAAACACCTTAAAACATGGGGAAGATTTTCCCGGAATGACCTTGCAGCTGACACAACTGGAAAAGAAACGAGTTCTGGAAAACGTGCAATAATTTACATACATGAAAGTTTTAAATGTTGTCAGAATTTAGCCTTATGTTTGAACGCAACTGTTTATTTACATAAGAAAACAAAAATAATTTAATACTTTTATTTTATTGTAATATATGAATAACATTGATGTTGTATATGTCATAAGGTGAAATATATTTCACTATTTGAACTTCAAAACTTGCACTGTAATATAACACATTGTATTTCTTACAAGTATTTTTCTCTTATAAATCGCTACTTGTGTCAGAGAAATACCTGTCCATTCTATGTCAAAGAGATCTTCGCACGACATTTTGAAAATAAGCTTCGTAGCTCTTAAATGAATGTACAGATCCATAACTTGTATATAAAATGTATATCATGTTCCTTGGAGTTTGCCCATTAGCAGAACATACACCAGAATGAAAATATTGACCAATATTCACCATATAAATCAAACTACGAATGTAAAATTAATTTTCGACGTGGATTCCTTATTCAAATTTCACTTCGCTTTTCTAATGCATTCATGCCACACCTTTGATTTCGACTGAGTCATAAAGTCATAAGTAAACCAGTGGTTGATATTATGAGCAACGAACCACAACGAAGCTAACTACAAGGGCCCGAAGCCATCACCCTCTCACAGCGGGGTGCATCCCCACACTATCAGTGAGTGAGTGAGTGAGTATGGTTTTACGCCGCTTTTAGCAATATTCCAGCAATATCACGGCGGGTGACACCAGAAATGGGCTTCACACATTGTGCCCATGTCGGGAATCGAACCCGAATCGAACGCTCTAACCACTAGGCTACCCGACCGCCCTCACACTATCACTATATTCTCACAGCACTCACTACCTATCGTTCACAGGTTGGGGTCATGGGTGGCCCAGTCCTCTAAGGTCGTAATTCGGTGTGCAGAGTTGCGTGCCTTAACGGTGCCAGGATGATGTAGGGTTCGCATCCCCGTGTTCTTGTTGGTTCCCGTGCTCGTTATTTTCACCCCAGAAATAAAAGTCTAAGACCTGCACTTTCGGGCTCTACTTCAGCTGCACTTTACTATAGGTGATATACACTCTGTTTAAAGCTGCGTTAAACCAATCTCACTCACTCACTCCACAGGTCCTCCAACACAAGGTGCATCCCAAGGTACAACCACGACCTCCCTTGAAGGGGACGTAACTCTGACCCTGTCAGTAATGGCATACCCTCGGCCTACCTTCACATGGTTTGGCCCGCTTGGGAACATGTTAGACGCAAACAATGGTTCTCTCGACGCTAATCTGAACGTCATCAGCAGGATTACCATTAAAGGTGTCACTGAGGATGACCTTGGAGTATACACAGTTATTGTCAAAAACAATCTTGGATCAGGAAATTTTACCATCGCACTAGCCACAGAAGGTTTGTACATGTTTTGACCTTCACGTTCTTTAGCTCAATAACTATATATCATTTCCCGTTGGTATATACATAGTGTTCAGCGTCAATGTCATTTCCCGTTAGTATGTATATAGTGTTCAGCGTCAACGTCATTTCCCGTCAGTATATATATAGTGTTCAGCGTAAACGTCATTACCCGTTAGTATATATATATAGTGTTCAGCGTCAACGTCATTTCCCGTTAGAATGTATATAGTGTTCGGCGTCAACGTCATTTCCCGTTAGTGTATATATATATATATAGTGTTCAGAATCAACGTCATTTCCCGTTAGTATATATATATAGCGTTCAGCGTCAACGTCATTTCCCGTTAGTATATATGTACATATATATATATATATATATAGCGTTCATATATATATATATATATATATATATATATATATATATATATATATATATATATATATATATATATATATATATATATATATATACATCGTGTAAACCTCAAATTAAAATGAGCCTTCGTAGAGCATCAACGTCATTTTCCGTTAATATATAATAGTATATAGCGTTCAGCGTCAGCGTCATTTCCCGTTGATATATATATATAGCGTTTAGCGTCAACGTCATTTCCCGTTGATATATATATAGCGTTTAGCGTCAACGTCATTTTAAAACTTTTAACTGTTTGACAATGAAACCCTCCTGATATGTTTAAGAGTAAGTGTTATCGATTTGATAATGTTGCGTTTCTATGTCAATTGAGTATATGGTGAATACATGCGCATATATGATGTTTCCATCAGCTGCCAGAATCTACTAGTCATGGTTCGACTCCTGGTGGTTTACAGTGTTCGCTCGTTACGCCAAAGACCTGGGTTCGATTCCCAATATGAGCACAAAGGGTGAAACTCATTTCTAAAGTGGCCCGCCATGGCAACGCTGGAATATTGTTATAGTCGGAGTAAAATCATAATTATTCAATAAATGAGAAACGATTAAACGATCTGTTTGTGTCTGTTGCAGATCCCGTCAGTGGGGGTTTGGTGGCCGGGCTTGTTATCGGCGGGCTTACAATTCTGGTGATTGTTGCTGTTTCGGTCGTCTTGATAAACCGAAAGATGAGGAAGGAAGACGACAACGGTAAGTACTCGTGCATCCAAACTATGAACTTTTCATTCTGTTATGATAATTACCCTTGACCTGTATAACTCACTTCAGACCACAATTATTTCCCTTCTTTGCTATCAACAATGATATGACAGACCACAAAACGTAGTATCATACCTCCATGTCAGAATGACGAGATCTGATTGGTTCAAGTGATCTTTATAAAATACGATGTATCACGCCTTGGAGCTTTTCAGCGGGAGAATAAACCCCTTATACCCCACCACGAAGAAAACAGGCTGCACGTGGATTTCTCAGCGAGAGAATAAATCCCTTACATCCCACTTTGAAGCAAAAAACAGCTTTCCGAGTCAATGATAATCATGTGATATAGCAGAGGCTAGCTCAGCTCAATCAAACAGCATGTATGTCGCCCAGTCGGACTTCCATATTGATCGTGGCTGAAATGAAACAAACACGAAATGGTTATTCGATGGTGATGCTTTTGATAAGGGTATCCAGCTGTGTTTGACTTCAAGTTTAAAGTGTTTCGGCAAATGTTTTCATCCTTGTAACGTTTTCATAACGTTTGCTACTTTTTGGTCCTATTTTCAGTGTATATATATATACTTTCGTTAGCCCGGCAGGGTATATTCATCAAATATATATTTATTCATGACGTCAAATGGAGCTTCAAATCACAGTACTGCACCAAAGGGGTTCAGAAGGTGAGGTCGGGTGAAATGGGGTTTAAATTCGCGCCAAAAATTATTGCACTTACATGACAACGTGTGTGTGTGTGTGTGTGTGTGTGTGTGCGTGCGTGCGTGCGTGCGTGCGTGCGTGTGTGTGTGTGTGTGTGTGCGCGTGCGTGCGTGCGTGCGTGCGTGCGTGCGTGCGTGCGTGCGTGCGTGCGTGCGTGCGTGTGTGTGTGTGTGTCTGCTTGTACTAGTCCAGATTAATGACGGTGTTGTAGTCCTAGCCCACTGGGTTACCATGCCGCATTTTAACATGACTACCCCACTCAGACACAGTATACTGACTGACTCGAGTCCATGCGTTGATAATGCTGAGCGTCAACAGGGAAATTATTAGAACCATCTTTAAAAAGTCCTTTGGTATGACGCGACCAGGTTATCGAACCATCGACTTTCCGCTCTCCAGACAGACACTTTATCCACTACGCCACGAATACGGTCCTCTCCTCAAAAAACCTCCCACAGACCTTCTCTCACACATGAGTGTAGTTTCATTTCAAGGAAATTTCAGATCCCGCCCTAGTAAGCCAGCAGTATAACAAAGCTCGCGGGTTCACGAAAGTAGTAAGCTTCCGTTATTTGGGCCGCTTTGCTCTCTTCTCGACCGACACATGAGCGCTATGACACTACTGGAATACTATTCTAATCGGTGTTAAACTTTTCTATTCACACACTCTTGTTTTTGTAGATTTAGACATGGATATTATGAACAGCACTGCCGAAGATGACACGAACGGAAATCTGTATGCCCAAGTAAAAAAGCCACGTAAGTTAATCACCAAGAGTCTTGTCTGTCACTGGCTAGAACGACACGAACGGAAATCTGTATGTCCAAGAAATTAAGCACCGTAAGTAATACACCAAGCTTCTTGTCTGTCACGGCTAGAACGACACAAACGGAAATGTGTATGTCCAAGAAATTAAGCACCGTAAGTAATACACCAAGCTTATTGTCTGTCACTGGCTAGAACGACACGAACGGAAATCTGTATGTCCAAGTAATAGCACTGTAAGTAATACACCAAGCTTCTTGTCTGTCACTGGCTAGAACGACACGAACGGAAATCTGTATGTCCAAGAAATTAAGCACCGTAAGTAATTCACCAAGCTTCTTGCCTGTCACTGGCTAGAACGACACGAACGGAAATCTGTATGCCCAAGTAATTAAGCACCGTAAGTAAAGCACCAAGCTTCTTGTCTGTCACTGGTAAAAACGACACGAACGGAAATCTGTATGCCCAAGTAATTAAGCACCATAAGTAATTCACCAAGCTTCTTGTCTGTCACTGGCTAGAACGACACGAACGGAAATCTGTATGCCCACGTAATTAAGCACCGTAAGTAATTCACCAAGCTTCTTGTCTATCACTGGCTAGAACGACACGAACGAACATGTGTATGTCCAAGAAATTAAGTACCGTTAGTAATTCACCAAGCTTCTTGTCTGTCACTGGCTAGAACGACACGAACGGAAATCTGTATGCTCAAGTAAATAAGCCACGTAATTAATACACCAAGCTTCTTGTCTGTCACGGCCGAGGAAGACACGAACGCAACTCTGTAGGTCCAAGTACACAAATCACGTAAGTTATTTTCCAAGCTTCTTGTCTGTCACGAGCTAGAACGACACGAACGGAAATCTGTTTGTTTGCCAAAGTAATTCAGCCACGTAAGTAAGTCACCAAGCTTCTTGTCTGTCACTGGCTAGAACGACACAAACGGAAATCTCTTTGTCCAAGTAATTAAGCACCGTAAGTAATTCACCAAGCTTCTTGTCTGTCACTGGCTAGAACGACACGAACGGAAATCTGTATGTCCAAGTAATAAAGCACCGTAAGTAATACACCAAGCTTCTTGTCTGTCACGGCCAGGGAAGACACAAACGGAAATGTGTATGCCCAAGTAAATAAGCCCCGAAGTTATTACACATTGTATAACAATGTCATGATCATGACTTTGAAGATGTCCTTTGTTTGGAGCTATGCTTATTCAATGTTTAGTTCTTAGGTCCATGCACAGAGTGATGCATTGCCATTTCCGCGTCTGTTAGTTGTTCTTTTGACATACGTTTACATTTTTCTTACAGGTAAAGAAAGTAACGGAGATTCCAATCTGAAGGAAGACTCGACTAACAAACAAGTAGGTAATTGTAAATTGAGTGAGTGAGTGAAAGGCTGTTTCGGTGGGTGAGTGAGTGAAACTGAGTGAGACGTCGCTTTTTTTATCCATATATCACGCGTTGGACACACAACATAGACTTACCCGTTAGCGATCTTTTGTCCCAGGCGTGACGAGGTAATTATATAATCACTTGTGACCAACCATGCAATATTCGCGTGCGTGCGTGCGTGCGTGCGTGCGTGCGTGCGTGCGTGCGTGCGTGCGTGCGTGCGTGCGTGCGTGCGTGTGTGTATGGTTTCTTGTACTCGGACTAATGCAGAAGTTGTGGTGCAAGCCTACTCAGATACTTGATCAAAGTTTTAAGTGTGTGTGTGTGTGTGTGTGTGTGTGTGTGTGTGTGTGTGTGTGTGTGTGTGTGTGTGTGTGTGTGTGTGTGTGTGTGTGTGTGTGTGTGTGTGTGTGTGTGTGTGTGTGTGTGTGTGTTTATTTTATCGAGAACATCCCTCAGGCAAACCCCACCTTCCCGGAGGATGATCAGATTGAATGAGTGAAAAAAAGAGTTTTTATGTCATTATCATGCTGTATTATGATATGTATATACTAATTATTGGTTGAATATAAATGTATTCACTTATTTTAATATATGAAAAACAAATTCTGTCCTTCAAACAATCATACATTAAACATCACTGGAGTACCATGTCTCCTCATTGTTGAAGGGTCTGAAGACAGGTGTGGATGAAGATGGCCTGCTCTACGTTAGTGTGGATGTTGAAGACCCGCCTGACAGCGCCGTCGACATACTCAGGACTAAAGACGACGACGATCCTACACAGTATGCCGACCTTGCCTTCAACCAACCTGGCGCCCAGGACATACACTAGCGACGTCAGGACGGAACCCTGATGAGTAGAAACAATGAGTGGTCGCATCGAATTTTCTATGCTTGGCGTTCCCTAGTCGTGCCTGGATGAGCTGAACATGGGTTCGAATCTCAAATTCGCTTCGATTATGACCCTCGGTTTGTCACCACGAAACCCATGCATGTAGGTTTGACCAAGGTGGTACACGTGTAACACCAGCGTGCCTTCCTCACATCAAACTGACACGCCGTGATATAACTGAAATATTGTTCAAAGCGGCGTTTAGTCCCACAGACATCGAAGTGCTACAATGGTACAGTTGTACATTACTCCTTCAAACATTTTTCAGCTATAACATTGCCAAAGTATACACCGTGAAGATCCGGGGTAGAATAGGTATTCAGCAACCCATGCTTGTCGTAAAAGGCGACTATGCTTGCCGTAAAAGGCGACTAACGGGATCGGGTGGTCAGGCTCGCCAACTTGGTTGATGCATATCATCGTATACCAATAGCATTCATCGGTGCTCTTGACATCAATCACTGGATTGTCTTGTCCAGATTTGATTATTTACAGACCGCCATCATACAGCTGGAATATTGAATATCATTAAACAAAACGAAAAAAAAAGAATAAAAACAAGACCACACTCACACGTGGTGAGAAGGTTCGCTAACTTCCCTTGTAGGCCATACCTGCTGGGTATAGAAAACAAGGTGAACAGTAAGAAAAACGTAGGAACACATGTACATGTCTAATTTGGCTAAACTCATTTGCACCATACAATCTAGATACATTCAGCCCATCAAAAAGAATTAGCTCACCCGCATGTCTCCAAAACAATACACGATAGGTACTGTGAATCTGTACAAAAAGTGCAAGAAAAGCAAATTTCAATAATTTCTTTTACACAATCATCTTGAGATATACAGTAATGTTTATAGCTCTTCCAAGATCAAGGGAAATATTCATGTGTGCTTCCACCTGATTGGAAAAACAATTAGCAATGTTACATAGTCTGTGGATACGAATACATTATATAATGTGCTTACGCTAGTTTAGCCAGACCTCTACTGCTCCACAAAAACGGTTATCCGTGTTAGCAAATGTGTGTATGACAGTATTATACTTGCGTGTTCATCTTGGGTCGTGCCAGTACCTGCAAGAGAACGAAGGAAGCTGGACTAGAAGTCACAAAACCATATCATATTTTGAAAGTTTCAAAAACTATAAAATTTCAAACCCGCCAAAAATTATCCTTTTCTCCTTGCGGTGAACTCGTGTGGTATTATCATAAGAGGGATAGTATAATTGATGTGATAAATCAATCCAATAACATTGGTATCACGATCCAATACATGTGTAAAGAGGTAGCCGAGCTATAACTGCTTGTAATCTCCATACATCGATGTCTGTTTGTCAATACACTACTGGCTATTGTTACCAAAACGTCTGCCAAAAATTATCCTTTTCTCCTTTTAACTCCTTTAAACCAATCCAATTACCTTCATATCACGACCCGATGAATGTGTAAAGAGGTAGCCGAGCTGTAACAGCTTGTGATCTCCATACATCGATGTCTGTTTGTCAATACCCTACTGGCTATTGTTACCAAAACGTTTAGATAGGGATTTATTATGTAAGTGTGGGCGATTATGTAGACAAACATGATCGTAAGTCATTTGGCACTATTTGATAAACAGGACTGTTTACTCGACTACTGTATTCATACGCGGTTCCTAAGGTTACATCATGGCGGGAAATTACAAATTAAACATCGATTATTGTAAGAATGACATTATATCATTAAGCTGATTTTACCCTCGTCTGTTTCCATGTCGCCAAAGGCCAGCATGATATAATTTCCATTCATAATATGTGATATTCACGATACTGATACTCTTAGCGCAAGATTTATATTTATGAACCAGTCACGTCATTTTGCAGCCATCCATAATCTTTCATGTCGTAGAGATGATGGCATACTACGCCGATATATGAAATAAAGATTTTAACAGCTAACACTCTCGTCCAATGAGAGACAGTCATCTGATCACGTTGTGTACATTTATATTTGGACCCACTGACGTGGACGTGCATGACACACAGGGCCGTCCTGTCTGCCTTGGTGACGTCATCTCACACTAGCAGGTGAAGCCACCCTAGACTGTAGCCGTGGTTCTTCATTATGCTGAAGACTAGATCTTCCACCCACTTAAGGATATATAAATCTTTCATAAACCTGTGATAATTTTAACACATTTATTATTGTATTTTGAAAGTTGTACCATTAGTAGGTCTTGTTTAGTTCATTAAATGGCAATATGTCTTGAAAGATATTACCAATAATTCACAAATAAAACGCATAAAAAATTAAAATGAACAATATCCATAACGTCGAAAGTGTGAAAGACGTGACACACAGCAATTTTTGTGTGTGTGTGTGTGTGTGTTCTTACACCACAAATTCGATTTTTAAATGTGTTTATGTTGAATTACTAATATAAAAAATAAAATATGTTCCTATTTCAAAATCGAATTTGTGATATCAATATCTGAATTACTGATTTCATAACATATGGAAGAAACATTAAATCAACAGCTCATGTCTGGCGAGACGCCCGAGGTGTGCCGAGTGACACACCTGCGCAGATACCTACAGGCGCATGTGCCGAGTGACACAGCTGCACGAATACCTACCATCGTATGTAGGGCACATTTGTGGCAATGTCTTTTGTCTAATGGGGCATATTTTATTCAGGACAGAAAAGATGCATGACTGTATATGATAAAATTGCCATGCCTATTTTATAGTTTATGCATTGTGAATGTTTTGCGTTTGTCATGGCAGTATTTTGCCAGATAATAACTTTGTCTTTCATGTAATAAATTGCATTGGTACTACCCTATTTGTTATCGAACAGTTACTACCTCTTATATCATAGGATTAAAACTGAAGGAGGTGTTATTCCATATACTATAGCTACATGTGTGTAGTCACTATAACTACACCCATGGCAGGCGTTACTCCATATACTACATGTATGCAGTCGTAACTCCATATACTACATGTATGCAGTCGTAACTCCATATACTACATGTATGAAGTCACTATAACTACACCCATGGCAGGCGTTACTCAATATACCACATTTATGCAGTCGTTACTCCATATACTACATGTATGAAGTCACTTTAACTACACCCATGGTAGGCGTTACTCCATATACTACATGTATGCAGTCGCAACTCCATATACTACATGTATGTAGGCGTTATTCCATATACTACATGTATGTAGACGTTACTTCATATACTACATGTATGTAGGCGTTACTCCATATACTAAATGTATGTAGTAACTATAACAAAACCCGTGGTAGGCGTTACTCCAAATACTACATGTATGTAGGCGTTACTCCAAATACTACATGTATGTAGACGTTACTCCAAATACTACATGCATGTAGACGTTACTCCATATACTACATGTATGTAGACGTTACTCCATATACTGCATGTATGTAGGCGTTACTCCATATACTGCATGTATGTGGGCGTTACTCCATATACTACATATATGTAGGCGTTACTCGATATACTACAGGTATGTAGGCGTTACTCCAAATACTACATGTATGTAGCCGTTACTCCATATACTACATGTATGTAGACGTTACTCCATATACTACATGTATGAAGTCACTTTAACTACACCCATGGCAGGCGTTACTCCATATACTACATGTATGTAGACGTTACTCCATATACTACATGTATGTAGACGTTACTCCATATACTACATGTATGAAGTCACTTTAACTACACCCATGGCAGGCGTTACTCCATATACTACATGTATGTAGACGTTACTCCATATACTACATGTATATAGACGTTACTCCATATACTACATGTATGAAGTCACTTTAACTACACCCATGGCAGGCGTTACTCCATATACTACATGTATGTAGACGTTACTCCATATACTACATGTATGTAGACGTTACTCCATATACTACATGTATGAAGTCACTTTAACTACACCCATGGTAGGCGTTACTCCATATACTACATGTATGTAGACGTTACTCCATATACTACATGTATGTAGACGTTACTCCATATACTACATGTATGCAGTCGTAACTCCATATACTACATGTATGTAGGTGTTACTCCATATACTACATGTATGTAGACGTTACTCCATATACTACATGTATGCAGTCGTAACTTCATATACTACATGTATGTAGACGTTACTCCATATACTACAAGTATGCAGGCGTTACTCCATATACTACAGGTATGTAGACGTTACTCCATATACTACAAGTATGCAGGCGTTACTCCATATACTTCAAGTATGCAGGCGTTACTCCATATACTACATGTATGTAGACGTTACTCCATTTACTACAGGTATTTAGGCGTTACTCCATATACTACAAGTATGCAGGCGTTACTCCATATACTACAAGTATGCAGGCGTTACTCCATATACTACATGTATGTAGACGTTACTCCATATACTACAGGTATTTAGGCGTTACTCCATATACTACAAGTATGCAGGCGTTACTCCATATACTACATGTATGTAGGCGTTACTCTATATACTACAAGTATGCAGGCGTTACTCCATATACTACATGTATGTAGGCGTTACTCCATATACTACAAGTATGCAGGCGTTACTCCATATACTACATGTATGTAGGCGTTACTCCATATACTACAAGTATGAAGGCGTTACTCCATATACTACAAGTATGCAGGCGTTACTCCATATACTACATGTATGTAGACGTTACTCCATATACTACAGGTATTTAGGCGTTACTCCATAAACTACAAGTATGTAGGCGTTACTCCATATACTACAAGTATGTAGGCGTTACTCCATATACTACAGGTATTTAGGCGTTACTCCATAAACTACAAGTATGTAGGCGTTACTCCATATACTACATGTATGCAGGCGTTACTCCATATACTACATGTATGTTGTCGTTACTCCATATACTACATGTATGTAAACGTTACTCCATAAACTACATGTATGTGGGCGTTACTCCATATACTACAGGTATGCAGGCGTTACTCCATATACTTCAAGTATGCAGGCGTTACTCCATATACTACATGTATGTAGACGTTACTCCATATACTACATGTATGTGGGCGTTACTCCATATACTACATGTATGTAGACGTTACTCCATGTACTACATGTATGTAGGTGTTACTCCATATACTACATGTATGTAGGCGTTACTCCATATACTAAATGTATGTAGTCACTATAACAGCACCCGTGGTAGCCGTTACTCCATATACTACATGTATGTAGGCGTTACTCCATATAATACAAGTATGCAGGCGTTACTCCAAATACTACGTGTATGTAGGCGTTACTCCATATACTACAAATATGCAGGCGTTACTCCATATACTACATGTATGTAGACGTTACTCCATATACTACAGGTATGTAGGCGTTACTCCATACACTACGTGTATGTAGGCGTTACTCCATATACTAGAAGTATGCAGGCGTTACTCCATATACTACATGTATGTAGACGTTACTCCATATACTACATGTATGTAGAGGTTACTCCATATACTACGTATATGTAGTCACTGTAACTTCACCCGTGGTACGCGTTACTCCATGTACTACATGTATGTAGACGTTACTCCATATACTACATGCATGCAAGCGTTACTCAATGTGCTACATGTATGTAGGCGTTACTCCATATACTACATGTATGTAGACGTTACTCCATATACTACGTATATGTAGTCACTGTAACTTCACCCGTGGTACACGTTACTCCATGTACTACATGTATCTAGGCGTTACTCCATATACTACGAGTATGCAGGCGTTACTCCATATACTACAAGTATGCAGGCGTTACTCCATATACTACATGTATGTAGACGTTACTCCATATACTACATGTATGTAGACGTTACTCCATATCCTACGTAAATGTAGTCACTCTATATTCACCCGTGGTACGCGTTACTCCAAATACTACATGTATGTAGACGTTACTCCATATATTACATGCATGTAGACGTTGCTCCATATACTACATGTATGTAGACGTTACTCCATATACTGCATGTATGTGGGCGTTACTCCATATACTACATGTATGTAGACGTTACTCCATATACTGCATGTATGTAGGCGTTACTCCATATACTGCATGTATGTGGGCGTTACTCCATATACTACATATATGTAGGCGTTACTCGATATACTACACATATGTAGGCGTTACTCCAAATA